ACCGAAGACTTTCCCAAAAGGATGCAGAGGCTAGAGCTCTCAAAACTGCATCCGCACCCAAAAAAACGTGTTGCAACGCTGCCGACTTTCTGCCGTCGCTCGTCATTCCATGTTGTAGGCCCCGAAAGGGGACACGTGAACATAATGGCAGTGTTTACCAGGACCAAGACTAGGTATGCGCATGCATGAGTGTTTGTGTGTGTGTGTGTGTGTGTGTGTGTGTGTATGTCCTTGCTTTGGGTGGGGACAGTTGGAGTTTTTTTGCTCTCTGTAAGTCTTCCTCTCCTGACTGTTTCTGGACATAGTGAGACAGGCCTGGGCGGCCTGGGGCCTCCCCAGCCGTCCAGGATAACATACTGAGGCGGGAATATCGGCGGATTTGGTCGACGATTTTTGATGTCGACACTCTTGTCGTCGTCCCGTTCTCAGATGCCTTCGCGAGGCGTTGCGAGCCCGCGAGTGGTGACATCTACAGCAGAAAGAAAACGACAGGATGGAGTATTCAGCATGGGCTCTTGGAACGTACGCTCTCTGGTTGAGAGTGAGGGCCACATTCAGACGGCTGCCGCGAGTGGAATTGTTGCCGACGATAAATTTTTTTATCAAATTGTACAACATCTGGAACACTTGGAGATGGGCGCCGCTGCTCTTCAAGAGAACCACTGGTTTGGTCAGGAAAACTATCAAGTCCACGGAGCAATGGTCATTGCTTCGGGCCGGCCTGTGCCTGGGGAAGGAGCGCCCAGACGGCGAGGTGAGGGCGTTGCGTTTGTGCTGAGGGGAAATGCGCTTCGGGCCTGGCGCGAAGGAGGTTGTCAACTCGTCGCAGTATCTGCTCGGTTGTTGTCCATACGCTTGAAGTTTGATCTGGCGAGTGGAGAGGTTGAATGGATGTCGCTGGTTACAGCTTATGCGCCAACATTCAACAGTAAGCGCTGTGAAAAGGATGCGTTTTATGACTCTCTGCAAGGAGTACTCAACTCAATTCCGTGCACAGATAAATTTGTTCTACTTGGAGATTTCAATGCCAGAGTGGGATCTGGAGAGCCAGGTGATGATTGGAGCGCTGTGCGTGGCTCACATGGCTTGGGCTGCCTGAATTCGTCTGGAGAGGAGCTACTTCAGTTTCTGGCAATGCATCAGCTGGATCGCGAACACCTGGTTCAGGAAAAAGCAGGAATTGAAAGGCACTTGGCAGCATCCCAGAACTAAACATGTCCATTGTATTGACTTCATCATCACAGCGCAAGGGGGCCGGCACTGGTGCACTGATGCTCAGGTTATTCGCTCGGCAGAATGTGGGAGCGACCATAGTCTTGTTGCCGCCAGGTTTAGGCTCGGCAGGGTCTTGTGGAAACCGCGGAAATCTACAAAGAGAGTACGATTTGCAGTGCATAATCTGCCCGCAGTGGTTTCGACAGATGCTGAGGGAAACCACCGGAGGAAGGTTGACGACTACCAGGAAAACATCAATGCCAAGATTGATGCTGTGGCGGACGCGGAAATGGTAGACGAGAAATGGAATGCGATGCGGGACGTGGTGACGGCGGCAGCTGCGGACACTCTCGGTCATCCGAGGAGACGGCAGCCTGATTGGTTTACGGAAAGCCAGGACGGGCTGCGCCACTGCTGGACGCACACAATGCATGCTACCGAACATGGATCACAAGTGGCCGGAATCAGGAAGAGTATTCGCGCTACCGTGTTGCACGCAGGAGGGCTCGCGCTGCCACCCGAGCTGCGAAGAATGATTGGTTTGCTGCCATGGCAAAACGTACTGAGAAGGGGCGCTTTGACTCGGCGCGCATTTGGGCCGGTACCAAGACCATGCAGACGGCTCGGCGAGGGCTTGTGGGTGTAACTGCAGTCGCTGTGCGGGACGAGAACGGAAATGTCTGTAATTCACCGGCGGATCAGGGCCGCACATGGCACCGCCACTTCTCCAAGGTTTACTATGTTCCAACCTCGTATGAACCTGCAACTGTTGCCACCATTGAGCAACAGGAAGTGTGTGAAGACCTCGCTGATCCACCTACTCTGGAAGAGCTTAGGCAAGCTGTGCTCCGACTACGGAACGGAAAAGCAGCAGGAGGCTCTGGAATCTTACCGGAACTGCTGAAGGCTGGTGGGGATGGCCTCATGATGGCACTACTAGACCTTGTCCAGACAGTGTGGAATGCAGAGCGGGTGCCCCAGGAGTGGGTGGACTGCCAGCTTGTCCCGATACCAAAAAAAGGAAATCTATCCAGCTGTGACAATTGGAGGGGCATCGCTCTTCTGGAGGTGGTAGGAAAGGCTGTTGCTGGCCTCGTCCAGACAAGATTGCAGCGGCTCGCGGAAGACATCCTGCCAGACACGCAATGTGGATTCCGCAAAGGCAGATCTTGTGCGGACATGATCTTCTCGGTGAGACAAATATCAGAGAAACTATATGAACATCGCTGCTCTGGTTTCATGATTTTTGTTGATCTACGGAAGGCCTATGATTCCGTCACCCGTAAGTGCATGTGGGAAATTCTCCAGAAGTACCTGACAAGCTGGTTACCATTATCGGCTCATTTCATACCTCTATGTCTGCAAACCTGTCGATCCCGGGCATCGAGGCCGAGCCTATTGAGGTGCAAAATGGCCTTCGACAAGGTTGTTGTATGGCCCCAGTATTGTTCAATATATTCATGTGGGCAGTATTCCGGCTGTGGCAGCGTGAGGTTGCGGACATACCTGAGATTGGACTTCCCGTCTCTTCTAACTCTGGACCGTCTCTCCTTTTCAAACGCCAGAAGACTGACACAATCAACATCCATCGTGACTGTCAATTCGCAGACGATTCGGCACTTATTGCTACAACTCACCATGGTGCCACACTTGCGCTCAGCCGGTTCATGGACGTCGCAACTCGCTTCGGCCTCACCATCAACCTATTAAAAACCAAAGTAATGGCGGTCGGCTTCGGCATTTCTCCGGAGGATCGTCGTCCATTGGTGGTTGGCGGGGAAATTGTCGAGAATGTGCATGACTTTCGCTACCTAGGCTCCATCATCCATACTGGTGGCCGCACCGCAGTGGACACTCGGTCCCGAATAGCGTCAGCATCTAGGGCATTCGGAGCATTGCGTCGATCTGTCTTTGATGATGGCGATCTTTCACTGGCAACGAAGCGAATGGTGTATGATGCATGTGTGGCTTCTCTTCTCCTTTACGGAGCGGAGTGTTGGGTACCACTGAAAAGCGAGCTTGCGGTGCTGTCCGCCTTCCATCTTCGCTGCATTTCCGCAATCTTAGCTCTCGGTAGAAGAGACACCTGGGACTTCCACATCAACAGGAAGACCATTCTCGAGGCCTGGAATCGTCGAGATCCAGTGGATATTACCACACGTGTTCTTCGCCGCCGTCTGGAGTGGCTAGGCCATCTAGCTAGGATGGACGGCGATAGAACTCCGCGCCAGCTCCTGTTTGGTGCGCTCCTTCCGCCGAGGCCGGCTTGTGGTCCTCGGAAACGGTGGCGAGACTCTGTCAGAGCTGACCTCTCCGCAGTGAACATCGACCACACGGAATGGTACGACCTCGCCCAGGAGCGTGGGAAATGGCGCAGTGCGTATTCCGCTCAACCAGTACCGCGATCGGCTCCGCGTGACACTTCTGTGCTCTGCGATGTCTGCCAGCGTACTTTCGCCCACCAGAAATACAAGAATCGCCACAAGTGCCTGGCCGAGAGGAGGAAACCCATATCTGAGCAGTCCGGCAGCCGACTATGTAATGCGTGCGGGAGATGGTTCTTGAGTGCTGGCGGGCTAGCTTCGCATAAGTGTCTCTCCAACTCGGCTGCTGAAGTGGCGTCGGTCTCGGCTGTGGCATCGGCAGACTCGGTCCGGAAACAGCGGGTTGCCCTGCCCTGCTGCAGAGCGCATTGTCTCGGCTGCGGTCGCTGCTGCAAGTCATCCCGTGGTTTCGACCTGCATAGCTGTGCTAATTTCCTGTCCAGGAAGTAGAGCGGCGTTTCTGGATCCAATGCTGAACTCAGTGCTGTCGACCCCTGCACAGGGGACACGTGACCATTTGATGGCAGTGTTACCAAGGACCAAGGTGTGTGTGTGTGTGTGTGTCGGGCTAGATTAACTCTTATGTAATCAATGATGCTAGTGACGCTTAGATCAGATCCACTCTGATTTAGCCACCCACACTAGTAGCAAGTATTACCTTCACTGGGGGCAGGGGTAACTGCAGTTGGATCCCAGGACGGATACCCGGATGCCGTCAATCCTTTTTCTGCATCTTGTCCTCACCCACTTACTGAGGTGTGGTGAGCCCATAAGTGGGATCATTTTCAAGTCCACCCAGAGTTTTGGGGATTTCAGGGGGTGTCGGCCATTGGGCGGTTCAATAGCCAGTTGAGTCATCTTTCCAAGATTCCTTTTGAGTCTCTCTCCCCTCTCCCGAGGAGACCCACGTGACCAGTTTTGGCAGTGAGCAACAAGTACAAGTACAAGTGTGTGTATGTGTGTGTGTGTGTGTGTGTGTGTGTGCGCGGGCGGGCGGGCGGGCGTGCGTGCGTGCGTGCGTGTGTGCATGTATGTGGGTACTCAACTTAGGTGATTGCCATAATTATGGGAATGGCTTGTTGGTAGTCCTCTGGTGTAAACTCTATCAGCACTTGCTTTTAGTCGCACACTTCAGTTATATGTTGGGGCCATTTCAAGGTGTTCCCCGGTTCCAAGGTGTCTGTGAATTGTGCAATCTTTACAACACTTAGGATATATGGGCGAAGTGGTGGCCCGCCGATGCGAATGTATTTGCTTGATGTGTTTCTCAACACGTCAGGTGATGCGGCCGCGAATTTTGTTTACAACCTAAGCCCACCAAGTATCACGTTAGATTCAAAACAACTAGTGTACACGAATCTCTACACTACGTCCTACGAAAATATATTCTGTGAAGCACAGATGCTTTCTGCCATGGAATCCTGATGACTTTCTCCTCTAATAACTTCTGTCTGCTTGCAGCTCGATGTCAAGTTGTAGCACCTGTTTCTGGTAGCGTGAGCAATACCGGCTTCATCTCCTCTGGTGAAAGTGTGCGGTATCAATGCAATACTGGATTTGAACTGGTTGGCCAAGCCACTGCTAACTGCACTGCTCAAGCATCGCTAACTGAAGTGCCTATTTGTCAAGGTTGGTTCTACAACAGCTACATAGTCTATGTCACAGCATGGTTTAGGACACGATGTGTACTGTAAAGTGAGAACACCTTTGCTGGGGATTAAATTTTCATTATTTCCGCATAGTGGTGAAACGAAATACCGGAATGTACTATTCGAATATTCGAAACTGTAACAAATGAACGAACGAATATTCTATTACTCCAATGAATATTCCGCACATAAAATTGCCAGCGATAAATGAGGATTTATAAAACGACTGTGACTCAATAATGATAAATTATAATAGTATTATTATTTCAAAGGATGTTTGTTTGGTGAAGTAACGTTTCTCCGCACTCTCCTTCGGGAGAGCGAACGTTTTTTTATCGAACGGAGTGAGGGAGGGAATGTAGCGAGGGATAAGAGCGCACACACATACACACACACACACACACACACACACACACATACACACACAAACACACACACACACACACACACACACAAAAGTTTGGTCCGTCGACAATGCTCTGCCTCAATTTCTAGCTGATTTCTTTGCCCTTCGAGTGGACGTAAGAGAATTGAAAAATCGCTCTGGGAAGCGACAATTTTAATGACGCAGAGGAAGTACAAGCAACCTCAGCGATAAAAGCTATTATAGCAACGACACACTGGATTGTGGAGCTGAAACTAGTCCAACTTCAAAAGCTTTGGCAAGAAGGTAGCTTTGCGACACGCACGCTTGCACGCACGCACGCATGCACGATCGCTACAACACTGGAGTCAGAAGAAAGCCAAAGGGCATGCAGAGTATTCTCTGTCTCTCCGTGGCAACAGTACTTTAGTTTGTGAGAGACTTTCGTCCTGGCGTTGGAGACGCAATTCTTGCTGCTCCCAGAAAACTCGGAGAACGAAACGATCGTAAGTCGTTTGGTGAAGCGAGTCATGTTGGTGAGGTCAAGAGCTGCAGAATGGTCTGCTGCCATGAAGAGGCAGTCCAAACACATGTCAACTTCGGAGAATGAAACGCTTCCCTATTCCTTCGCAAGTGCAGCGTTCACGGGTGTACTTTGGCATCAGCTTGCAGATTGTCAGAAGCCAGAGGTAGGTGTCGTCGTGGAGAGAATATAATGATGTTGTAGCTGGCAAGTGACATACCTGTGGTGTCTCATGACCATGCTGATCGTCATTGTAGCATGGTAGATCTGACAACCCTACTGTACTTATCTTCGATATTTCTGAGCCACCCACGTTCAGTGGTGTGCTGCTTTGCTGCTTCAAATTGTAGTTAGACCGCTTTGTCAAGTATCTTACTGGTCTCCTCATCTTCCAGTAACGATCGACATTATTTGTTCCCGCAGGACTGTAGCTTGTGCTCATTTTCGTTGTGCTTATTTTCCCCTCTGTGGTGTGTCCTTAACCTTGAACCTTCCGAGTTAGAAGGCTGTTGGTTATCGCAACAGAGATGTGTTGAAAGCTAGGTGTCAGGTTGACGAATGTCTCAGTGCTCAGTGTTGCGCCTGGTTTATGCACTTTCTGACTGTATATAGTATCTAGTTACAGTGGTGGACAGTTACTCTTAACTCATATCCATAATATATTATGTCCATTTCGTTTCTCCATTTGAGCCGCGCCAAGCTAAAAAACGGCTTCGTGTTTTGCCAACAAATCGAGAAATCCAACAAAGCGTCACAGTTGGCAAAATTCTACTCGAGCGTGATCACGAAAATATTCACTTTTAAGGCCGCGGTCTCACCAAGTTCAGCTGTTTTTAGCTTGCGCTGAAAGTGGCTTGCGACTAGCCAGCTGACGGTCACACCAAAACTGGCTGACGCGGGTTTTCCCAGGTTTTTTTATATTTGGAGAATGACCCCTGTGCACAGTATACGTGATTTGCCCACACTACGTCCTAATTTTGAATCTCAAAGTGGGCCTCGTCGTGGATGGAAGAAGACGTAGGGATCTGGAAAATAGATAGAGAAAGGAGTAGAGAGACAGAGAAGAGCGATTTGTTATTACAGTGGATTGAGAATGGATTCGGAAACGAAGAGCCGCATCGCTATCTGTATTTTATTATGTACAATAATGATGATCCGAATAATTTCCCCTGAGAATCACCTCACTTTGCCGATGGTGACAAAATGCCAGGCTTTGTCGCCGGAGGAAGCGACACGTTTTCGACTTTGTTGATGAAGACGGCCCCAGCTTCATTCGCAGCAAACTTTTTCAGTTCTGCGAAGATCCAGGCTCGTTTGCTCGTATCCTTTTTCATTGTCGTCTGATAACGCGTTTTTTGCTTTGTACCACGGCTCGAGCAATCGGCGCTCCTGTTCCATGCTCCAACTATCCATGGCTGACAACGAAAACCTTCAAACACTTCACACAACTACGTTACAATACAAGAGAAGAAGAATCTACCTGACTACAACGAACGTCAACTCAAGTTCTTCAACTCCTCTCGCAGTCTTGCACTTCAGCCAAAATTATTCAGCCACTTTCACCTTTTCAGCGCTTCCAAAAGGGCTGAAAGCTGAAAGTGGCTTGTGCCCCGATTTTCAGCCGTTTCCGTGGAAACCTCAGCCGAAAAAAGCGCTTTTTTGTGCTGAACGGCTGAATCGGGCTCGGTGTGACCGCGGCCTAAGTAATTTAGTTTGCAAGTGGATGAAGAGAGAAGCCTTTTTATGTTTGAGCAACACTTCTTCAGTTTTCCCTCTTTCATCGTTGTGGGGATTCCTCAGCGCTGCCAGAGATCGTAATGGAGCTTCTAGAGAATGTGGAGTTGAGCAGGATGACATTCTGTATCCGTGTGTGCCCAAATCTATTTGACGAGGAAGAGTCGATCATTCATAGTGGCTGTGTTTCTTATCGTGGCCACGACTAGAGCGGCGAATATAGCTATGGGGAGACGTCTACGAGCCTTCCGGCTATCATTCTGACAAGCGGCCTGGTGAGTTGGCTCTTGCAGCGATGTTTCACTTTGTTTTGGCTACCTTCAATTTAGTGTTCATGACGTGGCGTACTGGATTTCAAAATTTCCTCATTTCAAGGAAATAGTGTCACACGACGAAGCGATGCATTGACTCTACCTGCTAGCATATTGTCCCGTGGTGCCTTCTACCAGTATCCTTGGCAAGGAAGGGGAATGGCACGGACTAGGACGGACAAAGAACCAGTGCCACTTGTTAGCGATGTGCAGTCTACTGGACCTATATGTATGTGCGAGGGCAGTACACCAATGGAGCTAGATCTCTGGCACAGCACTACGAGCTACATGAAAGGATTAATTCATCCTGGCATAGGTGATTGGAGAGAGTATGATGGACTGTCTTGGTAAAATGCGACGTTCCACAACCCAGCAAAACAATAAATATAGTCACAACATCATGATGAAGAAGTTGGTTGCTCCAACGAGGAGCACACACTTCTTGCCGAACTTGACACTTGACTGACTCAAGCTCAACTGATGAGGGGTGAATTCCCCGAAACACTGTGTATTGAGCAGGGAGTGGTGCTTTCTTTCAGGTTTGCCGAGCGGAAGGTGCGACGTGCTCCTGGTGTGCTCCGGATGGCAGTCGTGAGTCAGTCAAGTGTCAAGTTCGGCAAGAAGCGTGTGCTCCTCGTTGGAGCAACCAACTTCATGACTATTACCGCCGAAGTCGCAACTTCTAAGTTCATCATGATGAAGGATATGAAAATTCGTATTGCATGATAAAATGATATGAGTTATGATGAAATGTAGGTCTGTTTTTTCTTCTTTCTTGGATCTTCTGATTTGAACACAAGTGCTCATTCTTCTTGTATTACTTGCACACCTGCTAAGCTTTGTCTCCACTTGGTGTCCCATGTTTTCTTGGAGTTTGGGAAGGTCTTGGAATAGTGTCATTGATACCAGCCATTCTGTGACATGTGCACAATACATGCTTATTTATGGCACATATACATTTCAGATGGGCACCAAAATTTCCGTGATGGAAGTTGGATATATATAGACATCACTTTGGCATGAAAAAAGAAATCAATAGTCATCGATAAAAGTATGCGCCATCCCGCCATTCAGTCCCTGGACAAAATGCTAAATATAAGGCTCCACAACTTTACCGTCCTGGGAACTGCACTTTTAAACTTTGGGGAAATGGATGCCAAGCCACCTACAGTGACATAAACGAACTTGATATAGAAGGAGAAGAAGAAGGAGCAAAGCGTAATATGACTTGCTATTTAGCCAATTTAAAAAAAGAAGTCAAAATCGGCAATTTCGTGATTGACTATGTGTGTTTGTATGCAACAAGAAGAAGAGGCTGAAGATCGTGTTGTAGTGTAAAATACCTCACGCATAGCATCACACAATCGTGCGGTAAAGCATGAAACTCAGAGTAGTGAGGAACTAGCCTTGCTTGACATTGGTGTTCTCTGTAGAAATTGTTTTGGAACGGAAATCCTAAGCTATCTGTTCTTGAAACTATGCAGACCTGCAACAGTCTTTTTCTTTTTCTTTTTTTGTTTTTTTTTCGGGTTCCTGCAGATGTCGATGAATGCAGTGCTGATAGTCACAATTGTAGTACCAATGCTTTCTGTACAGACACGGTTGGGTCGTATACATGTATGTGCAATGTTGGTTACACAGGCAGTGGCACCCATTGTCTGCCTCTCCAATGTCATGAAGGAAGTAAAACATGTCATGGCAATACTATCTGCAAAGAGCTGGTTGACAGCTTTGAATGCACATGCAATGTCGGTTACCATGGAGATGGTGTGAATTGTTCAGGTATGCTGGTTACTGTCGTTGCCTTTTATTTTTACTTCATCAATTGCACAGGCATGGTTGCTGAATCCATGGCCATGCTTCCAGAGCTGCCTAATTGTCCTAGCAGTCTTGCGGCTCAGGTGCGAAATGTGGGGATTCCAGGCCAGTTCATCATCGAGTATTATCCCGAGATACTTAGGCGGAGGTGTGACAGCAAGTTTGTCAGCATGGGAGATCTCGTCAGGCTGTGTGTCATCTGCGCCACA